TATTTAAATAGTTATTAAAAAAATTATATTAAAAAAACCAATTCCAAAAATTTATGACTCACACTGTATATTTATTTTATTAATAAAAAATATAAAATCTATTTTATTTTAATAAAAAAAATTACAAAAAATATAATTAATACAAATTTACTGTTTAATAAAAGATCTAATTTAATAAAAAAAATCAATTTATATATAATTTTATTAAATCATATAATATAATATAAAGGAATATAGTTTATAATAAAAAATTTGTTATTATTCTAATATCAAAAATAAAAAAAATAAAAAATAAATTATGATTTTATAAATTAAGATATTTTTTAATATAACAAATTATTTTTAATCAAAATTTGTTTAAAAAATATTATTGTATATGTGATTATATTTAATTAATAAAATTTTTTATTAAAAAATAAATAAATTTAAAAACATTTTAATTTTTAAATTATTATATGTAGTATAAAATTATCAGTTAATATATAATATCTAAAAAAATTTTAAAAAAATTTTCAGATTCAAAATAATATTGAAATCAATAAATAAATATTTTATTTTAAAAAATAATGTATTTCAATTTAAAATTATTTAAATAACAAATAAATTATAATGTAATTTATAAAAAAAATAATTATTATTTAATATTATTAATATTATTAATATTAATAAATTTTTTTTTGTTAATAATTAATATTTCAAATAATTCATTAATTAGATCAAAAAAAAAATTATTTTAAGATTTAACATGTTTTTTAATAAAAAGTTTATCGATTATTATTATATTATAAATTTAAATAATATCGTTTGTATTTTAAATTTAACAAATGATATAATGTTAATTTAAAAATTGATTTAAGCAAGCTTTCTATTGAACTTTTATTTTAGGTAAATTAGCTATCAATATGAAATTAATTAATTTCTAATTCACGCGATACGGAGATGACCGTGACCTTCTTGTATTTTCTAAAATTTTATTTAAATTATAATTTTTCTATATAAGGTTTTGTTATGGTAATGTATAAAATGTATGCGTAAATGAAATTTGATGTTACTCAGGTTACCGCATCTTCTGACGTTGATCACGATGCAACAATAAAAACTTGACCATTAGGATTCTTACCTCTACCACCTTTATTGGTCTTACAAACTTTAAGAGAAGCGACTATTTCGCATCGAAGAGTATTCCTTATCACATAAGCTTATCAACTTTCCTTTAACAGTACCATGTCGTCAGCAACGATCGCGAGAGACATCCCTGCCATAAAAAAGGCGGATCCAGGATCATCGCTTCCAAGAGGATATAGTACAACACCTTCAGGAACAATCTATTCTAGTACTCCTGGAGGTTAGTTCTCAACGTATTCGTTTTATTCATTTGGTCTTTAATATCTTAAATAGAGGCTGAGTCACTGTTACCATTAGCATCAATTGATCAGTGGTAATAATAGTTCATCCTTCTGCGGCATAATTTCGTTATGATCAAAGTAAAAACATTCTTAGAAAGTGCATTAGCAAAAGGTTATTATAGAAGATATTTCCATGAAGTTTGACTCAAATATAGATGTGTTTATGAAGAAGTCATGTCATAGATGATATGTTTATAAGCAGTTGATTCCACGATTTATGTCACCTAATGTCTAATCAATAACGTAATCTTCTTACAATGTAATAATCAGGTACCAGAATCATATATGATCGTAGTACGTTGCTTAACCTCGCCAATTCACCCCTCTCCAAAACCTCACCATCCAACTTGGCCTACGTTCCTGGTGTCACCATACCACATCATCATAACGACGCAAAGCCTAACAGTAGCACTACAAATCAAGTTGCTGGACATCTGGCTCCTCCGCAGCCACATCCTGAGCTTAAAAAGACCGATTTGAGTGGAAAAACTACAACTGGCGCTGAGAGTGGCGACGAGGATTCAAATCAAGCATTCGGTATGTACCACGTCTTTGATCTTAATCTCTGAGAAACCATTTATTTAATTCTTACCAAAATAATTCGTGCTAGTAGATCATAAGGAAGTACACAACGAGGGTGTATTTGACATGGAAATGGAATAGGTTATATTCCCGATTTTCACTAGTTCATATTGTTCAATTGACTACGTGTTTTATAAAATAAAAAAATAAATTACGCCTTGGTAAATTTATTAAAACAAAGAATTGTTTCACATGAGATGATCAAAATTTCATGCATAAAAGTAATGAAAATAAAGAGATTGTTGCTAAGCATAAAAAGATGTAATCTTTTTCGTCTTCCGATCTTACCATTTCCGAGAATTACGAGTAGACATCAATAGTATTATTCGAATCTTTTTATTTGGCCAAGCAAGGTATTTGGAAGTGAACCTATTTTCATGGAGTCGAGAAATTTGAATATCAAAAACTATTATTAGAAACGGAGTGAATTGTATTTAAGATCTTATGTCGATCGTTAATTTAGTTAACAGAAGGGTCGCACAAATTAGACCGATTTTCATGACATTAACTATTATTCCCTTGAAATTGAATCCAATATGATTAAATAAATAAAGTTAGTCTTTGCTATGCATATCGTATCCCGTATAGGTTCAAGCCCCAAAGTCAGGTCAAAACCTAACCCTCCGTTTCCACCTCGCACGAATAACATTTAAACGTTTTTGATCCACCGAGATCTTTTTTACGAATCCACAATTCCTACACGTCTTTGATGTATGCTCTTCGGTGCATTCAATGACCTTGCAACCTCCGAACTCCCTCGATTTATTATATAAGAACACGAAACCGGAAATGCGATCAAGTTTGCATCGTGCGAGCATTCTTTGACCGAATCTTTCTTCAAAACCATTCTCGAAGACTCGAACTTGGGTAAAAGAATGATCTCGTAATTCTGACATAACCAACGGGCCAGCTGATGAAGGCATTCATCGGTTAAATTATGGATTTATTGTATGATTCGTAGCATTTTTTTTCTCAATCGAAATCTCTTTCTCTTGTTTGTTTTTCCCAAAGCAAGATCTTTGTCGTTCTGTAATTTGTCATATTTCTTAGATAATTTAAATATTTTATTAAAATCACCGTTAACCCACTCGATTAATTGACGTCAGGTTCGTCATACGAACTTACTTCCCTAGGGGTCTCTTTTACCCAGAAGAGTTTTTCAGTTGTGATGCACTCATCGTTCAGGTAGTGCTTTCGTATGACGCTCATGTCGGTGATTCCATCGTCCTGCATCATCCTAAGAACCTTGTTGTACGTCCATCTTACAGTTCCCATCCACTTTCTTGGCTTTTTTCTTTCTTCAGGCGTTGGGTAAATCTTTATCTTTTGTGTTTTTATAATCTCTTTTTGTCGTTTTCGTTTTCCTGTTGATCTGAGTCCATTGTGTCTAGTAGTAACAATTGACAATGGGTTCTCGGTAATATCACCGAATTCAGTGTCATCAACGTTGACGTCCGAACCGAGTACTGTTCTTGCTAAGAATCAATTCGACAAGCTTTTACCACAACTTTCTCGATATCTCTTCGGTATATCATTCCAAAATGGATGTGAAGCGCTTGCTTTCCAGTTGAGACCTGACTCATATTACCGGAAATTTGGTTTTAAAGTACCCCGCTTACAAGACGGATTTGTTTCCTTGCATAGCAGACTAACTTTTTTGTGGATGTAGAGGTCCATTATCTTTAAATTTATTATTACAACTTTTTTTTTTGCATAATTTACAGTATCATGTAGTTACCTTAATACCCGATAAAGTTCTAGTTTATATAGCATAGACTGTATTTTATTCCGTAAACCATTTTTCACAAATATTCGATAAAAAAAATGCAATGATATTGCTTTAATAATAATTTGCGTAGTGCTGATACCAAACATTTTCTAGAATATTTTCTTATATTCTCGCTCGCGTTGACTACTACTGTATATGAAGTTTACGGGAAAAAGTCTTTTATTCTTTCACGTGATGCGTCTTTCTTTTAAATGGTGTGACCTGCACTGCCGCGAACAGTTTCATGATTTTAATATGAAAGCCGGAATAAATTCGGGCGTCAAACAAACAGAAACAAAACATACAGTATATGTTAAATAATAAAAAATGACGTGATTATCCATTTACTCGCTTGGAGTCTTCTTGACTACTAAAAGAAATTACTGGAATTTTACTTTTCAAAACGACGTGACGTGGGCATTCCAATCAATATCATTCTCAATTTTTTCTAATTTGTTATATTTTCTGTATTGATTATTTCCATAGAATAAAACTTGAATCAGGTGCTACTATAAAAAGTTGCGTTGCTTTTGGAGAGGTAATACTTGGAAATGACATTTCTTTATTTATTAGCCTTCAACTTAACCATCCTAAATACTTCATAATCAACGATAGAAAAATTTTTCTTCGACGATCTAATACTCTTTTCATAATTGGAATTGGAATTACAATAACAGTATTTGTCCAAAGTGAAGTTAGACACATATGTACGCATAAGTAGACTGCCATCTCCGAAGTTTATCCCATGACTATCTTGTCGAGAAAGAGACCAATAGTAAATAGCAGAAGATTTACCTACTACTCTGCTAAGAATCGAATTTTGAATGTTTCCATTTTTTAATGAAAAAATGAAACTATCGTTTGTACTTTTATAAATTCCTTCAGTTGTTTTATCCCACGTTAAGGGATTGTATCCACCAATAATTTCATCCGTTCCTGATACTTTTAAAACAGTAACTGTATTTTCACAGTTATGACACATATCCCAAAAAGTTCGAGGATTAAATCCATCACGGCTTCCTCTTAAAATTAATTGAAATTCATACGGAACATCGTTCAATGGATAAGTTGTGGTTATTCGATCAACCCACGATGAAATCTCTGCGGCATGATCGTAGTTAATGATTGTTGAGAAAGGTTCTTTTGTCCTTTCTGGTAGATCCGGAACAATAGTTAATCTTGCAGGTAAAAGAATCGAGGTGATAGGTTCATTAGGAAATATTAAACGCTTATTGAGATCTTTCCAAAGTTGATATCCAAGAACTTTCCTATAAGGCTCAAGATGCGTCCATAAGTCTGCTTGAGAAAATTGAGAATAGCGAATATATGGCAAACAATTTTGTAAGGTCAACCTTAAGGCCTTAAAGTCTTCTTTAGTCCATTCTTCTGGTCTTGATGATAACGTGTTATGCTTAGAAACTCCCCATTGAATAAGCTTTCTCCAAATCTCTATTTCATCCATTTGTAAGTCTTCTCTCTTAAGAAGAGAAATCAAAGCCATTTCATCAAGAGAAGAAAAATCCTCGGCATCAAATAAAAGCCTTGGATATTTTACTATAATATCGTTACAAAATTTTTCCAAGCTTTCAAAACTGCGACTTTTAAAAATCGAATGGTAGACCGATGAGAAGTGTGTACGCAACCAAGAAGCTTTGCTTTCAATAAGATAAATCTCTAGTTGTTGT